GCCTTACCTCTCAAGTCCCTTCCAACAAAACTGGATTCCACTAGGCTGCCGCATAAAAACTGGCATAGATATCCGACGAATAAGAACTGATACAGGTTGTGACGACCTTTTAGCGAGATTTTTTTATTTTAATAACAAAACTTTAATCGCGAGTACGACTCGCGGAGGAAGCACTAGAAGGAGCATACACTGAAAAAAATTCCTAACCCCCCTATACCAGGAATTGACTAATTTGCCTGGTTACGAGAGGAATCCACTGGGCAATCTTGGTCAAAGTTGATTTCGACAATTAGTCGGAATGACTAGGGAAGCTTATCAGAATAAGCAGGTATCTTAGTTACATTGGCTAGAATCACTTTGACTAATTAAACTTTAGCAAAATTGACTATAGATACATGCGATATTAACCAAACACCTTAGTTAATATAACTAGGAAACAAGGGGTCAATTCTACTAAATCGACTTTGACAATATTAACCAAGCTACATAACTAAATTGACTAGGATGCTTGGTTACGCTGACTAGATTTAAAGTTGCTATGGTTAATAGTCATTAATGCGAAGCAAATTTTTTTCAGTGTAATCAGGTCAATTGATATAAAATCATGTAAATTTAGAAGCGGTTACAAGTCTATTTCATCTATTGACAGGCGAAGCATCATTGTAAAACTTGGTCAAACTTACCGCGATGAGTCAATCGTTCTCCATAAACTGTTTGCTGGTTGATTCTCCTTTATTGATAGAGATTAAAAGTTGATGACAAAACACAGATCGTTATGATAAATAAAATACTTCTATTACTATATTTAATATAATAAAAAAGATACAAAGATCGCGTTTGATACAGTATATTAAAGAATAATTCGAAACGCGATGAATACACAGTATAGGCTCAATGAGCAAGCGGCGAGTCGTGCTACGCGACTTACGCGCCACTTTGAATTTGGCGAACTATCGAAAGTCCGCGAAATTCAATTTGAATGTGCTAGCAATATTAGGAGGGAAAACCATCAATTACATTTAACTAATAATAATAACTAAAATGCTCTCTAAATTTGAATCAGCGAAACGTCGCTAATTTGCAGCTATAAGTATGCAGCTGATTCTAACAGCGTATATACACGGAGAGAAAAAAAAAGTTCCAACTGCTTTCTTTTAAGTCGTCATGTTGATCTTATAAAGTCAAGTAGTTATAACCAGGGAGCCAGGCTGTTTTGACTTAGGTCTTTAATTGCAGCTATTGGTGTTCTCAGGCGATACCGACCAAGCTTTTCCCTGCTCAATTGATACTACTTGAGACAGCCAGGCCAAAACTGCCTGGCTACCAAATTGTACTTACTTGTGTATCGGTACTTGCGTTCACGCCTACGTCGGTCAAGTAGTTTCAACCAGAGTCTCTGGTTTTGCAACCTAATTTTTCTCTCCGTGTACACTGATAAAATAGTGTATATGCGCTAATTATCAATGTATACTGCTTGAATCAGCTGCATACTTATAGCTGTCCAATCAGCAATTTTCCGCTGATTCAAATTTAGAGAGTGACTTAAAAAGTTACAAGGCTTCCGCCAAATAAGAATTGACACAGGTTTTCGTCAAATAAGAACTGATACAGGTGTCCGAGAAGTGAACTCTCCCAAAAATAGCATGCGATTGATTGGTTTTTAAAACCAATCGATATAGTGCTTTGCAAACAGATCACCCAAAAAAAATGTGAATACAATTCTATAATTAGACAACTCTTAACATTAGTTTTAACAAAATCAATACGGTGCAGCATGAATGAATAAAAAGATATAAAAATTAAAGGTTGATTAATAACTTATACTTAATTGATGGAAATCCTTTTTACTGTTTGACAATAATTGACTACCGTTAAGTGGCTTACACGAAATGTGTGGCTTGGATTGCTATTGGATTGTGTGTATATATATATATGTTGCAGTTGGTCCAGTAAATCGTAGAGTAGAGAGGCTTTAACGGTTGGATGTAAATTCGTAGGCTCGATAATAATGATAACAATGGTAGCAATAATGCCGACCGTCAAAATGCAAACATGTACAGCACGAGTATCGCGATGCGGTCGAGCGTAGAGATTCTGCAAAGGGGTGATTCGGAATTGTAAAGGGTGGAGAAAAGAGACTATGTTTGCGTATGAGAGAGATACATTGTGAGTGTGCGTGATGGTAGAGCAAATGCGGGTTTGATCGTTCGTACAGAAAATTGTGTTTTTGGTATCAATTGCTATTCACCGACTTCATAATATACACTAGTTAATGATCACACACACAAACAAATAAACCTCCAGTCATTTTAGTCATCTCGATATCATTTTACCCCTTCCCTCCCCCTTTGGCTCTTTTTGAATCATCGCACTGACCTCGATGCCTTTCGTTTGACTGCCCAAAATTGCCCCCAGGGTCTTCCAGTTGAGTTCCGAGCAGCTTCATTTCAAACGTGTAAGTGCGTTTGAACATTTTTAATTATCAATGAGAACGAGAAATGACGGTGTACATTGAAAAGTTTTGTCATTTCATACAAAGCCTTTGTTATTTGCAGCCACTAGTGAAAGCAGATTTTGTATGAAGGATTAGAGTAGAGAACGCTCTTTTTATTGACAAATGAAAGTCAAAAACAAATGTGAAAATGAAACCAGCAGTTAAATAATGTTTGAAATATTTTCAATAACAGATATTTGTCAATAAATTTTCAAATACGGATCAAGAAAATAAATTCAATTACAATGTATGTATGTGATCCTATCTTAGGTATTATACAAGTTTGTGTTGTGCATCCTCATGTGTGAATGTTTCCCTTACACATATATACTATATAACATTGTCGTATAGGATGGTGATAACTGTGAGTAATAATTGTGCACATTACGTCAGCATATAGTGCATTCTCGACTCGAATGCAACCGCGTGCATAGATCACTCTGCTCGTGACGGACTGCATTCTAAGGAGAAGCTAGGAGGGACCTACATGTACCTAAGTTAGGTCCAACTTGGGAGCTCGATGGTATATATTAGAATGTCGGCGAAACACTCTTCCCAGAACGTCCATCTCTGTCATAGTGAACTACGACACGTTCAAGATATTTTCTTCTTAAATTTAACGTCTTGCTTTTAACTTTAATAAACACGTAAAATAACAGCTTAAACTACATTAAAATTTAATCGCCGCACTGAAAGAAATTATTGCTTGAAAATACTTAAAAATTGTTTATACTAATATTAACTATTTGGTTACTTAACTCATTATAGAGACAAACAATATCCTTATACACTTGCTTTTCATGACGGAATTTCCTTTGGGATTAAAAAAATTTTGAATAGACTTTTTGAACAAGCCTCTGGGGTTCTTGGGTATTGAGGAAAATTAGGTTTGGGTACTGTTTTGCATTGCGGCGTGACGCCAGTTTTACTTTGCGTCAAAAGGCATGAACAGTTAAACGTGGAAAAGTTTTGTTAAATGCAGTTTTATATTAATAAGTAAATATTAATTATTATTCAAAAATGTTGAATGAAGACCCACGTGAAAAAGTTCCCGGGAATTTCCCGGGAAATTCCCGGGAGTCACTCCCGAGAGTCGCTCCCGGGAAATTCCCGGGAAATTCCCGGGAATTTGTAAAGTCGATAGGAAATCAACCTCAGGCAGTCACCAAGTTCCTCCGGATCAATTTTGGATAAATTTTTCTAGATTGTTACACTGAAATAAGAAAACCCTAATTCTAGAAAGTCATCAAGAATTTACAAGATGTCCAGATCAATATTCTGGTTAATCTTGTAGATATTTTTATCCTTAATTGGCATTATTGCCAATATATCACAGAACCTTATAATAATAACCATGTGTGTCAAAAATATATCGCAAAATGTCTTAAGTGTTTACAGGATATCTAAAAAAGTATATAAAAAATTTGCAACGAAAAATCTAATTGATTGTTCAAAATTATGAAAAAAGTGTATACAAAGTCTGCAATGAAAAATATTAAAAATTGTTAAAGATTTTTGAATTTTAATTTTACTAAAATTTTGATTTTCATTTAAAAAAATATTTATTTCATTTAACTTTTGATATCCAAATTCCCTTTATAACAAAAATTAAAGCATTCAAGTTTTTTATTATTTTTGCATTTTATTTCATACATTTAGCATTCAATTATGAAATTAATTAAATGAAATCATTTTAATTGAATAAAATTAAATTGAACAGAAATTATACTTTTGTATTGGTAATAAATAAATAATCAGTGGAAAGTGGGTACAGTAAAAATTCTTTTTTTTAAAGTTCATTTAGCGACGTTTCGTCGACCAAGATTTGTTTACCTTGGTCGATGAAACGTCGCTAATTGAACTAAAAAAAAATTTTTTATTCTACCCACCTTTCACTATTCATTTATTTATTACCAATACAAAATTTAAGGAAGGACGTACTTCAAATCTAAGAAATTATAATATTAAAATATGAAAATTATAAAAAAAATATACAATGATTCATTTTTTCGAGCCTTTCTTAAATTCTTTCAATTTTGCTCTCATGCTGTCCTTCACTGTTTGGTCATTGACAGTCTTCCACTGCTTCTTCTTTGCAACACTGGAAACATACTCTATGGAAAAACATGTATTTATTAATAGCTTTCAATTTTTAAATTATATTAATGAGATTATTAGCAATTAGTAGTTATATTTAGTAATTCTTAAACCCTTTACGGGACAGAACTTTATATATAGATTTGTTTTTTGGTGATGACCGTATTAAAATTAAAATTTCGGAAATGAAAAGGCCTAGATACGGATATATAGAATCAAAGAAAAGTCGTGCCACCAGTGTATATATGACCTCTATAGCAGCATAACACAAATTAAAAAATAAAATAAGTTTAATCAATATAATTTAAATTATCAAAAGGTGTATTACAGTTTTTGGGGTCGCTATGAATCCGAATCTAAATGACAAATAAAAAATTCTAACAGACAAAAAATAAATTTTAATCAAGGATTAATTTTTTCCTAACACTTGTGTGGCACGAAAACTTTGGCTTCTTTGCACTGTCAAGAGGTTAAAAAATAAATTTTTACTCAATATCGCCTCAATTGCGGCTTTTGGAAGACCAGGTTTCGTTGTCCCTATTCCCTTTAAACTATGAGTAAGCAATGTTTCTTCAGTAAAAATTCCACATAACAATGCTCGTGCCATAGTCGTTTGCACGGAAGACGTTCTTTTTATGTTTTTCAAGGTCGATGATTCAATAAAGACGCCACTTGTTGCAATCAATTCCTCTGTCTAAAAAAAAAATTCTGTTGTATTTTTTATGTTCTACTTACCATCAATACTTTTTTTTAATGGGATAAACAATTTTTACGACTTTTCAATTATTTTGATCTTAAAAATGTATTTTAATAAACATTTTTAATATCCATCTAATTGATTGTTCAAAATTATGAAAAAATTATATAAAAAGTCTGCAGTAGATGTTGAAAAAAAATAACAGCCGAAATTCAGTAGATATTGATAAAATATACATACCTTGCCCTTTATCTCTTCGGGGAAGACGTAAACACTTTTCTTTGCATCGTGTTTTTTCTTTCCATCGTTCGGTGGAGGATTTTCATCATCCGAGGATTCGTTTTCCGGATTCAAAAATTGTTTCGAAGCTGGTTTTGAAGTTCCTTGTGAAGTTTGCTTCAAAGTTTCGAGATTTAAATCGAGTGATCTAAACAAATCATCGTCGCTGACATCCTCAAAAACTTCGCCACTATTTACACAATTCTGTAAAATGAAATAAAAATAAACAATAAATAAATAATAATTTTAATTGATAAAAAATCTAGTACCTGTGGTAAATTTTGTGAAATAGTGTCCGATAATTTCATAGGTCCCGAAGCAACAGGGAGTTGTTGATGTATTTCAAGCATCTAATTTAAAAATTTGGTAAATGTATTAATTATAATTTCAGAAATTCGTATAAAGAAGAAATTTTTTTTACTTTGTTTATATTTTTTCAATTTTAATGTTTCGAATAATTTTTAAACATACTTCTTTCAATTCTTTCAGTTCTACACCTAATTGTGCGTGCAAATGAAGAACAGTTTCTACCTTCTTTAAAAGTGAAACTTTTCCGAAAGGTAAATCGGAAAGAAATGGCCTCTGTAAAAATTTATTAAAGAAAATAACTTTATTAAATTGTCTAAAAGGGTGAAACCACTGAAATAATCATTTGAAAGTGGTTACTGACGTATTATCGTGTAAATTATTTAATTATTATTAGATGTAATTATTCTATTTTAAAATATTTATTAGAATTTGAAAATTTCGTGATTAAAAAATTTCACAATTTTTCGAAGGTTATAACTTTTTTCCAGATGTTTAAAAATGTTTTTTTATTAATTTTTTTATTTTGTTTTATTTATTATGTTTTAATATTCATATAAATTACATGTTATGAAAATTTGGAGGATATTTTGCTTCGTTTCGGAATTATTAAATTTGAAAATTTGTCAATTAAACGGGTTAATTCTAGGACTTGTAGTTGACAAGAAATATTACATCTCTCTCTTGTTTATGAGAATAGAAAGGGAAATAAAACTTTGAAGTCTTAGAATTAACCATTTTAAGTAAAAAATTTTTAAATTTATTTATTCCCCAGTGGACAAAAAACCATCATTGTTTTAAGAACGTTCTAGAAACGTTTTTAGAACGTTTCATGTCCGCCAAATAATGTTTCAAAAACGCAACAGAAACATGGAACGTTTTTAGAACGTTTTAAAAACAATGAAACGTTTTTTGAACATTATTTTGCTGACATGAAACGTTCTAAAAACGTTTTTGGAACGTTCTTAAAACAATGATGGTTTTTTGCCCACTGGGTCTGAAATGGGGAAAAATAACATGACCACATTTTCATAGCAGGTAATTTATGTCAATATTAAAATATGTGCAAATGCTCAAATTTTTTGAAGCATTTAAAAAGAAGTTATAAGCTTCTAAAAATTGTGAAATTCTTTAATCAAGAAATTGAATATTTCTTTTTTGAAATTTTTCTTTTTATTATTTTGAATTAATAATTAATATCTGAAGATTAAAATTAAATTTCTTAAAAATATTTGAGAAACCACTCTCAGGTGATATTCAGTGATTTCACCTAAACTGGAAAACTTTGAAAATATAAAATTAAGAACATGTAGAACTTACGATACCGACACAAGCATATATACGCCTTCATTTTCATGAGGAGAAAAGAGCTTTAAACGTAAAAAATAAACAGACAAAATTTCTCTTTTTTCCTGAAAGCTGATTGTGAATTGATAAATTCATTCTAAATTATGATCTTGGAAACTAATTAGCGCTTTTAACGTTCTTGGGTTTAATTTAGTCGCTATATAATACAGAATTAAAATAACTTACTGGTATTTTAATGTATAAATTTTTCCAGAAAAGTTTTCATCCATGTAAGTTGGATCAAAAAAATTTTTTAAATTATCCTGACTATTAAAGTGCTAAAATTGTCAGTCTTAAATATGTAATTTAATAGATACATTTAAATTTAAGAAATCTCCTTGATTGTTTTATTTGATTTTTAAAAATTACTTTTTTTTGTTGGAAAAGTGCCTTTTCATTTTCCAAAATTTTTTGATCCCACTTTCCGGTTAGATTTTTTGGAAAAATATTTATCAAAATACTAGTAAGTTATTTAAATTCTAAATCTAAAGATGTCTTTTACTAATGAAATTAAAGGCGTCCCCATACTCGTGGTCGTCAATATATAAAAATTTAGAAACTTGTTAATAAACTTAAACTTCTGTTACGAAGAAAAGCGAATTAATTCTAGATATTTTCATGAAGAATATGAATCTGTCCTTTAAAATAGGTTATCACGTAAGGATTTCTTATAATATTAGTTTTAATGACCAAAAATTTATATATTTAAATATTTTTAATTTTTTCTAGCCCACATTTTTTTATTTTCATAAATCGTAACATATAGTACTGTTTATTAGCATTAAAACTCATTTTTGCAAATCGCTTTCCAATTTATGAACAGAGTTATATAGATTTGAATTTTCATCATTTAATTAAGTGCGTATAAAGTTAAGAAGGGTGAGGTATATACCTCACCCTTCGTAATTTTTAATAATAAAAAAGAAGTAATTATATATAATAACAGAATTTTTCTTTTTTTCTTTTCGTTTTCTTTCCTTAAAAACAAAAAATTATTCTTTATAGTTTTATATACTTCATTGGAATGAATAATAAAATTTTGGAAAATATAAAAAATAATTAGGTGAGTCACAAAAAATTTATAAAAATAGCCATTTGATGGCCATTTCAGGTAATATTAAAAAAGTCCTATCGTGGTGGACCATTTTGGTGATCAGATTCGTATTTTGCCATAAAAATCTATGATAATCACCTCTTTTTTTGTAACAGATACAAGTGAAATTTTGCAGATCTATTTTGCTTATGTATCTTTAGTAATTTTAACTTGCTTTTTCTAAAATTTCATCATCTTGTTTCTCATTTTTCCTTTTCCTTCCTGGCTTTCTTGCTGCCTTTATTTTTTCATCTCGTAATGCCAACAGCTCCTTTTCGTCACCTGTAAAAATATTTAAGTTATTCAAATTAAAAAATCGACAAATTTTATATATATATATATATATATATATGTGTCAGGGGAAGCGAAAAGTGACTTATAGTCTGCAAAAATCAATTTTAATTTATTTAGCGATTCCAATAGATTTTTCTGATTATGTCTGATTTTTTCTCTAAAGATCACTAAACAATAAAAAATTTATTTTTTTGGACTTCAGGTCTTTTTTTAACTTTCCTTATTATTTAGAACATTTTACAAATCAAAAATTGTAGTTTCATTAATTCAGTTTGTTTTTTGCAATTCATATTTTTTGTTCACACATGCAATATTTTTAAAATATTAATATAAATATGCACGATCATATCTGTCAAAAATAATTGAAATTTCTAGTAAATTTAAAAAATAAAATGTTTGTCATTTTTCAAAGTTAAAAAACCTTTTTTCTATAACTTTTACGCTTTTGAAAAAAAGGAACTCTTTTTTTTGTGGCATAAAAATCAAATAAATTTTTTTCTAAATACTAAAAATAGTATTTCGCTTTGTACACATACCTGAAATTGCAATTATCTTTCCTGTATAATACTGTTTAAAAGCAACTCCTCCTTCAGGCCACAAATATTTCACCGTTGTACCAATTTCCAAATCTTGTAGCGACGAATTAAATCTAATAGAACCCTTATCCACTATAGTAAAGCATCCGTCGCCCTCTAATAAAAGTTGTTCTTCCATATTCATTTTTCTTTAATAGCTTCTTAGGAAAAACCGTTTTTACTTTAGAAAAATTATTGCTTTAATCTCATAGAATGACAATGTTTTTTAGGGTTAAACATAAATTATCTGATTTTTGTTTTTTGGTTCTTGTGTTTTATAGTCTCTTAGCAACCAAGAAAAAAAAGAAAAACCGACAGGATGTTGCTTTTAAATTGTTAATTTTTACACTTGTATTGTGATTCCAAATAAATTTAAGGAGCAATTTTTCAAAAGCGGAAAAATACAAATTTTATCATTTCGAGAAATTTATAAGCCATGGTATTTCTTACATAACCACTAAAGTTAACTGCAATGTAATAAAATTGTAATAAATTATTTATATTTTAATATTTTTTAGAATTTAGACGTTTTGTTTGTATGATAAATCTGTGTTTATCACTATTATTTTGGAAAATGGATTTATCATGTTTTGGAAAATTGACCATATTTTATTATTAATAACTTTCAGAGTAGAGAAAATCACATTTTTTCCAAAATTTTTCTATAATAGACTTTTTTAAAAATAACATTTTTCGAAAAAAATTTGACTTTAGTTATACAGTATTATAAATTACTTTTATTGATTTCATTTTTCATAATCAGTGAATTTTTATTAATTTTATTATTAATATTATTAATTATATTAATTGAGGCTTTTGAAGTATGATACAATTTTTGCATTACAAATTTTTCTTCTTTAACTCACGTGTAAATTTTTAAAATGGTTTTTATTAGATTATTCATAAAAAGGAATTAAGATTTATCAAACATATTTAATTTAATTTTAACCAGATTTAAATAACTGAAATAAAAGTAATTACTAAATCATAAAACTACCAATAAGCATTTGAATATTAAAAACACTTTTTTAGTTTAATCTTCTTAAATATTTGCATCCTCAAGATCCTAAATAAAATAAAATTATAAATTATAAAGAATTTTTAAAATAATTTAATAGTAATTACTTTAGTAATATTATACTTACTTGCTTAATTTCTAAAATTGATTCATTAATCTTGCTAGTGTTGGAAATCGATGCTTTTAAATTTTCTTTTATTTTATTTTCCAAGTTTAATTTTTTTTCTAACTCAATTGCCATGGCAACATTTCCTTCTCTTGATTTTTGAATATATTTTAATCTCTTTCTCTCGTGTTCTTCCTTTTCATTTTCTAATGCTTCCTCTTTAGTCATTTTTTTTCTTTTAATTTCATTTTTTCTTCTTTCCATTTCTTTTTCTAAATTTAATGTATTATCTAAAACAAACAGTAAAACATTTTTTATCTACAAATATCTTTCAAAATAACTATGATTAATTTAAAAAATCAATAAAACTTTATTTATGTTTTAAGAATAGAGATGTAAAAAATAATAAAAGTTACCTGATTCCATTATAATTTTTCCAATTCGAATTTTATTTTCTTTGTTAATTTTCGGTTCTTCCTTTCTAACTTCTTTCTCTTCGTTGTAAATGAACTGCACTTTTGACCCAATCTTTATGTCCGAATCATCAGTAACTAATAAGTTCTCTTTTCTTTGAATATAAAAGTACCCATCACGTGAAAAACAATCAATTAGAAAATAACGTTCTTGTTCTTTGTGGGTCATGTTTATTTTTTTTCTAATTACCTGTTTCCTACCCATAAACAAGTTTTGAGGTTATGCCGTTAAATTCAACACGTGAGACGCACGTGATGTAAGATTACAAATTAGACATTTCAGGAAGACTCTGTTATGAGAAATTATGATTGGCTCATCTAACAGTACGTTAGATGACCTGACCAATCGCTACTGACAATAAATCCCGAAAATGGACACATTTTAATATTTCAACCAATCCAATAGTGAAAACGAAGTTATTAAGTGTAGTAAATTATTCCAGTGCCAATTTTGGGAATTTTATATTTCAAATGTTTTATGACAGTCGTTTGTCGTGCTGCCATATTGTCTCGACTTGATGGTTTCTTGGCAAAACGGATTGTCATCACAAAAAAAGTTTATTTTTTGTTAAAATAAAAGTATTATCAAACTGTCACGACTAAAAGCAAAGTGTTGTTCATAAATTCCAGTGTATTAATTTTGATTTTAATATAAAAATTAAATAAACATTGTAAGGAAAGGCTCAGAGGTGAATACTGAATTTGATGTGCGAAGTTCTTTTTAATTATATTATATATAAAGGCAAACAGAGGATAGACCGTGATGAGATTTAACGAAGGTAAGTTTAATAATATGAGATGTCATTTTCTTATATTAGTCTCCTGATTTTAGAAAAATTTAATTTTTTGTAATTTCAATTTTTCTGTCAGGCAAGTTATATGAAAGTAGTCATCTATCTATGCGATGCAAAAATTAAACTTTGATTGAAATATGCAACCGTAAAAATTCTAATTTTCTTTATTTTCGCAAAAAAAACATTTCATGTTATTTTTTACATTAACAGTAACACCATTTTTTTAAATCCGAACAAAACTATTCAAAATATATATAAATTTAACACATTTAACAACTTAATCCGTCATTATTTATAAAAACAAAATGACGATTATTTATCGAGTCATTCTTTTTATAACTGTTTTATAGGGATTGTGCTTATATATAATGAAACCGATACCTATTGACCAAGGTAACTTAAACTAAAAATAATATTACAATAAATTTCAAAGTACTGTAAAATGGGGTAAAATTGGCGATTTTTTCAAGTTTTTCTTAAAAAATTACGAGCAAACTATACAAATTAACTTTGATACTTTTAATATATAAAGTTTGACTCTTCTTCTTTACTATCATTACATAAAAAAATTAATTTATTAATTAGAAAAATATTTATACATCCTTTTATTGTCGCCGACTTTTCCCTGAAATGTGGGTAAAGTCGGCGATTGTTTAAAAAATAGTCATTGACAAACCAAGAATGTTAATTTAATTAAACAAAGTCAAGTGAATAGAAGCAGTGAATAGGGAAAAATCAAAATCAAGATTTAATAACGATTAAATAAATATTTAATTATATTTTTCATTATATCAATGTCTAACCTCTAGCACGTTGAGGTTAAAAATAAGTTTTGACGTTTTTGGCAAAATTATACAAATAATACTATTTTTGCAGATGTTTTCATTCTAGTTTGGAAAAAATATTCCTTTCTTTCACATTTTATTCAATAGAAGTAAGTCTAAAAGTAAAGTATGGTAATTTTCTTTAGTTTTTTACTATCGCCGACTTTTCCACCGAATTCAATAATATTTGCAAATAAATGTTTTTTTTTAATTCTTGATTATTTTAATACAATTTCTCTTCTTGGTAAATCATGCCAGGGATACTTAAAACACGTTATACAGTTGGATTTGTTATAAAAGATTTTAAATAGAGTTCTAGAAGCATGTTTTCAAAACTACTTCGTAAAGACGTAAAATAGACATTTGTATACAAACACTAATTTTACTAAAATTAACCACTGAACATGGATCAAACAAATATTAAAATAATGTTTGACATCCTTACAAACCAAATTAATCATCAAAAAGGAATTTTTTTCTCAGAAAAGAAAAAACGGAAACATTCAAAATAATTTTGTAATAATCGCCGACTTTTCCCCCATCGACGACTTTACACCATTTTACGGTATATGTTAAATAATAGGAAATATTAAAAAATTTCTACTATCGTCACAAAATTTTAATTATTTATATTTTCCTTAATATTTTGCTTTTTAAAAACTAACTTCAAAAATTTTGCTTTCTTGAATGTCACATTTTCTATAAATGGAAAATATTATTTGAAAATTATAAATTAAATGCACTATTTTGTACATTAATTCAGAATAAAAATATTTGTAAAAAATAATTTTTTATGAATACTGTAAATATTGTTCATGGTTTTCATACGATACATTTTGAAATTAGTATTATTAATTTTAATCAAAGTGTTGTAGAATTTTAAATACATCTAATGAAAATATCTATAAAACCGAATATTTTATTTTTTATTAATTTCGTAAATCACTTTCCTAAAAGTGTGGCGTTAAAAAAATTGAATTTTATAATAATTACTATCAAATTTATAAAAATGATGAAAATTGATTTTGTCATTATTTGATTATGATTATGGCAATTTTTCTAATAAAAATTAAAAACATCACGTTCAAGTATTGTAATCAAATTTTTAGATTATTTTTCGCATAGAAAGTATAATTTATATATGTTTCTGAAATAAATATTATTTCTTTTAGCGTTAAAATTTATCCCCTTAATTAATCCTCGTCAACTTCAAAAACCATGGACTTCATACTTAGGAAGTTCATTTACGAATTCCAAAAAGAATATGCATTTTGTTAATTTTTGTGAGTTGTAATATTTCATATGACTTGACTATTTAATGTTCTAATTCGGAGCTCTTTTCTCTATATAATATGTTTTATAGATAATTCAGTAAAAATTTATTTGTTGAATTAAATTAACTTTTTACAATTTAACATGTATAAATTTTAATTTATAAGATAAATAAATCATAATTTTGAACGCGATTTAATTTAATTATAATTCAATTATATAATAATAATTATTATTATATTACATATAAGTATATTAGATGTTTGGTTTGCTTTTGAAAACTTGTTTAATAATACGTTAATGAAAATATGTGTTATTACTTTATTTTTAGGTGGATATCTGTATACTCAAGTTTCACAGATAAAGAAAAAAGGATTGTGAATCAAGGTTATAATTCCAAAACATATATCGAAGAGTATTAACATTTTTTGGAGTACTCCAAAAGCAGGAAAATGGTAAATTTTTAAAAGCAAATATAATAATAAAATATAAATTAAAATATGAGGACAAATATCAGAAAATTTTAACCTTTATGTCCTTCAAATTTTTTGTCCTAAAAACCGAAATTTTCAAAATTTATTTTTATAAACATTTAGATACAGTGGAACCTCGATTATCCGAATCTCTATTATCCGGACCCTCTATTATCCGAACCGAAAAACATTTTATCCGAACTTCTATTATCCGAACTATTTTTTGGTCTCCCGAATTTTAAATTTTACTTCCTCTATTTATTTTATCATTCATATTTTCGCGGGACATTTTGGCAAATTTATGCCAAAAAAATCTTAAAAATTTCCGAATTTTCTGAGTTTTTAATATACATATTATTAATTAATATATATTTACATATATTTATATACACGGAAAAAAAGAAAAAGTAATTTTTACTACTTTCATAGTAAAATTGGACCTGTCCGAAGTTTCTGCGCATCTCTGGCAACTTTTACTCAAAAAATAGTAAAATTTACTATTTTTGTAATAATTTTTACTATTTCTGGAGTAAATTTTACTATTTCTGGAGCAAATTTTACTATTTTTGGAGTAAAAGTTGCCATAGATGCGCAGAAACTTCGGACAGATCCCATTTTACTATGAAAGTAGTAAAAATTACTTTTTCTTTTTTTCCGTGTACTTATGTATATTTAAAAACATATGTATTAAGTTAAATAAATAGTTCAACTGTACATTTTTTTACTTTAATTATAAAAAAAAAATTAAAATCTCTATTATCCGAATTTTCGATTATCCGAACCCAGCCTTGCCTAGATTAGTTCGGATAATCGAGGTTCCACTGTACTGTTAAATAGAAAATGAGGATCATGATTTAACCGACTATACAAATTATTTGTTCCTTTTTTCCCTGTTATACTGTATTCAGGGTGGCCACCGGACCTTTAAATCTTGAAAACCTGGAATCCCACGTGAATTTTTTCAAACCTTGAAAAAACCTAGAATTAGCCTTGAATTATTTCTTAAACCTTGAATTTTAAAAATTTTATTGATAAGTAAATAAACATGTGGTTAAAATTCGCAATCTAGAACCCGACAAAACAAATCTCAACAAATCTCCTTTTTCTCTGCTTTTAAAATTTACATTTTTGTATACCAACGTGCAATTTTGAGACTTTAAAAATTTCGAAAAAACATGGAAAAAACCTAGAATTGAACTTGAATTTTACCAGCAAATTTTAGTGGCCACCCTGTTTCTTACAGATAACAATACTATGTTTTTACATTTGTGACTTTCACTGTTTTAAGGGTTCCGTTCACGCAGTGATTCGTGAAAGAACCCTTATGGAATTACTTTTGGCATTTTGATACCCGCCCTGCCAAATTTAGCCATTTCAACCTAATGAGCTGAAATTTGGTACCCATATGTATTTTCACTGGTAGACTTGCGGAAAAATATAGCCGACCCGATTGGAATTAATTTTAACCTCGTTTATGGGGAAAAACAAGTTTTTTCGAAAACCGCGTGTCCTCCCTTAACTTTTGCAGTTTTTAACCTTTAAAGTAAAAAATTAGTACCTATGCGTATTTTTCCGCGTAGATTTCACCAAAAATACAGCGGACCCGATTGGGATAGATTAAAACCTCGTTTCTTTGTCAAAACTCATTTTTCTTTAAAAAAATGCGTTCTTCCCCTCAACTTTTGTAGTTTTTAATTTAAGGAGCTAAAAATTGGTACTCATATTTATTTAAACGAGTAGATTTCACAAAAAATATAGTGGATGCAATTAAAGTTAATTTAAACCTCATTTTTTGGAAAACTAATTTTTTTAAAAAAACGCATTTTATTTTCTAAACTTTTACAATTTTAAAGATAAAGAGTTGCAGTTTGGTATAATTACAACGTATTTTCATAAACAGATTTCACAAAAAATATAGCAAACCTAATTAGAATTAATCTAAATATCGTTTTTTTAAATAAAATCTGGGTTTTTCAGAAAAACTTTTCGAATTTAAATAATTGTGAACGGAACCCTAGGTGAGCGAGTGCAACTCGCAACTTAAAACTTTGCACATGTTTTGATTTATTTTAATTCTTATTTAATTATTTATTTTACGTTGATATTCAAATTGACGTTCGTCACATTTTCTGCTAGTCAAATAAATCTTTTTCCATTCAACCTAAAATTTTGCATTATTATTTTTTTCTCATAAATTAACCACAAAAATAGTAAAAAGTTAAATTCTGAGAGAAAACAGAATAAAATGTAGCTAAAAATGAGAAAAAAAGATATAAACATTTAAAATTTTGAAAATCTGACATCGGATTCACAATCAGCGACTCCAAAAACCCCTGAGTAATCAATTTTATAAAATTCCAATAATTATTTTTCATTGTTAATGTGAATTTTCTTTACACGATTTTAATGTTCTGGATAAATTGTTTATAAACAACGATAACTTTTGTAATTTTCAATATCCTGTCTGGCCACTTTCAGATATCTTTATTAGTGCCATTAACTTTAATTTAAAATACTTTTCAGAACTTAAACTAGAAAAAAATGTTTTCCTGAAATTTACTTGATGAAAATATATAGGTATATGTGACTGGGTCTGAGAAAAGGGTGTTATCGACCAAAAAATCGATTTTTTTCTGACGGTTTCTTATAGGTTAAGGTTCTAAAAATATAATGCAACAAGTCCAAAATGTTGAAAAAAATTTTTTCAATTGTTTAAACAAATTTAAAAAAAAATTCTACGTTTCCCAAATTTTCACCTTCGACCTTCATTTTTGTCACAAAAATAAATGTAAATTTATGGATATTTTAGTATCTTGTTACTTAACGTACTATTTTTATTAAGTGATTTTTTGTGTCACTAACGTAATATTTATTTCGTTCGATAGAAATATTTCATACACATTAGTGAAATATTTTATACTCTTTCGGGTAATGAAATATGAACTGTATAGTACTGTTCTGATATCCACTCCTCGTCGTTTGTTGACACACTCATGCTGTCATGGTGACATATAAAAGCGACACGATTTGACAGGGCAGACATTTTTTATTATTACCTTACCGAAAGTATGAATATAAATATAATATACATATTTTTTCAGAGTTCTAGTTCTGATAACGAAGATCTCGAAACGACGTCGTCAAGATCTTCGTCTCTATTGTCCTGTTCCAATAATCAGACACATTCTGAAAATGAAACTTCAGACACCATTGCAGCAAGTGAATCTTTGCAAAGTTTATCATCGAACTCTACGAACGTTTCGTCCTCTTCCACATTCAGTCAAATGATGGTTGATTCAGATGCTCAGTCTGAGGTCGATAATCAAAGTGGAAGTAATGCGTCAATAAGATCTTCCATACGAAATTCTGGAATGAATCCTGTAAATGTACTGTTACCAGCGTTAGATGTAATAGCTGATTCAGATGTACAACTTGGGTCTGGTAGTTCTTCATCTTTCGAATTATCTTCCTCTTCATCAGCAGCGTCAGTAGCATCATCACTCTTGTCAAATGACAGAAACGTTACTGACAGTAGCGATACTAACAGTAACGACAGTGATGATGATAATGGAGGTGACTCAAATTGGCTCCATCAGCCAATTTTCCCAGAATCGACTCTTCAAGGTGGAGATGCCTTATGCCATTTATTGAAGGTTTATGTCACGAACCGATTAACAAAAAAAGCTTTAGAGGATATTCTAATTTTAATCGATTTAGTTTTACCAGAAGATCACACCATGCCCAAAACAAAGCATAAGTTATTATCCTTAATCGAGAATTTACTTCCTCACTCTCAAGCTGACTACACTACAAAACACCGGATTTGTACGAATTGTTTTTCTTATTTGGAAAAATGGAATAACGAAAGCCGAATAACTACATGCGTTAACTGCGACAGCACCCATATTAATAGTTTCTTTTTAGAATTTAATTTAGAGACCGAATTACGCAATGCTTTTGAGATAAAAAATATGGAAACTTTAATTGACGATTATCAAACAAAATGTTTAAATAGGAATCAAGAGAACGTATGCGATTTAACGTCGGCAACAGAATTCCGGCGTCTGAAAGTTTCTGCCATACCTGGCAAAAATGACGTGTTTTTGATTTGGTTTACAGATGGCGTTCAAGTCTCAAAAAGTGGGAAAAGCAATATGTGGCCGATTTATGCACAAGTTGTAAATATTGACCCACAATTTAGAAGAAGTTTCCAATTTGTCTGTGGAATTTTTTATATGAACCGCAGTAGTAAAAAACCGAATATGAACGCATTTTTGAGACCTTTTGCAACTACTTTAACCAAACTTCAGTTTGATGGATTTCAGTGGCGCAGCAAATTGTTAAATCGCATTGTTACGAGTAAAGTGGTTGCTCCAGTTGCCTCCTTGGATGCTCCGGCTAAATCAGCGACACAAAATGTAATGCAGTATAATGGGGAAAATAGTTGCCCAAGCTGCGAAGCAACAGGGGAAAGCTGTCAGACCGGCGGTGGTTTTAACTGGATTTTTCCAGTAACGCATGAGGAGCCTCCATTGAGAACAGCTGAACGTATGGAAAATCAAACGAAAGTTGTGGAAAAACACAAAAGACTAAAACACTTCAAAGGAGTTAAAGGTGCATCGATCGTAACCAGCATACCTTTTTTTGATCGGTCAAGAGGATTCGTTGCAGATTATATGCATGCAGTGCTACTCGGTGTGCATTTAATGATTTTAAATTTATGGTGTGACTCAAAGAACCATGAGAAAAGTTATTACTTGAACAAGGGGAAGCGAGATGAAATTGATGAAATTTTACAATCAATAATGCCTCCCGACGATGTTACGCGAACGCCAAGAAAACTAAGTAATATTAGCGATTGGAAAGCCTCGGAACTGAGAGCGTTTCTCTTGTATTATGGACCAGTGATTTTAAAAAACCGACTCGATGATGAGTGCTATGATCATTACTTATTGCTTGTCCGAGGAATTTATTTACTGTCTCAAGAAGAAATCACACCCACAGAACTGAATTTGGCAGATACATTATTACATCTGTTTGTCATCGACGTAGAAAGACATTATGGTCGTAATAAATGCTCATACAATGTTCACCAATTACTTCATCTAACTTCTTTTGTCAGGATGTGGGGACCTCTTTGGGTGTGGTCAGCATTTTCATCAGAAGATAACAATGGCGAACTCGTAAGAATGGTTCATGGCTCGAACAAAATTGACGTAGAGTTATCGAATACAATAAAAATTGTACAAGCCTATCGAAGTATTCAGTTTATGATGAATCCACAGAGACAAAGAAACCATATCAAATGTCTATCACACGGACCGTCAATTAGATACGACATCACGAATAACGAAAGGAAAGCTATCACTCAGGCGTTAAATATTACAGAAGAAGAGTTGCGAACAGCTAACGTCAAAATTTTTAGCAGATGTGTTATTAACGATGAAATTTTTACATCCATCTTGTACACTCGTCAAAAGAAGCGTGCAAATTTCTACGTCCAATGGAAAAATGAGGAAACAGTTTTATTTGGTGCTGTTAAATTTTTTTTTAAAGTAGAAACGAATCTTTACGTCATTCTGCGCCAGCTTATAAATTCGAACGACAAAAATCATGAAATTAATAACAAGGAGCTTGAATTTAACCTTAATCGACATTTAATACATGTACATGATTCTTATTGTATCCACGCAATTGACGCTCAGAAAATATCGAAAATTTTACGAGTTCAAGATTACATATGCATTTTTCCAAACAACAGGGAAAAGAAATAGAGCTGTTTATTGCAAAGTGTAAGTTTCTACATCCAATAATATGACATCCTTTTATTGACAATGAATTCCGTTCTCCCTATTTAATTATTATTTTCAAATTAGTTTCATTTGTATATTTTTTAAAAACACTATGCATCCTTTGTAAGGTTAAACTCTTTTTAATTTTTAGTTAAATTTTTATTCATTTTAATTAAATATTTCCAATTTACTAAACAATTTTCGTTTTTTAAAATATAAATACAGGGTTTCCACGTGTCATAAATATCAGGAAAGCAATCGAAATAAAATCACTGAAGACAACGAGGCTGTCTGTTGTTAATTTTGAACCTGCACGAGAATATAACATAGAAATTTACAAAGTGGTTGTGATAAATAGAATCAAACTTTCACCAGGACACGAGTTTTGTTTGCTACCGTTCCATCGACTCCGGATTCATCCCAGGTAATTTTCAGATTTTCAATCCGAGTTAAGTTTAAATTAATCATTTTTTAAAATAAAAAGCAATTTTTTTGATATTTAGGGTTCCATTCACGCAGTGAAACATGAAGGAACCCTTATGGAATCACTGTTGGCATTATGGATCCCCGTCCCCCGGCCAAATTTAGCCATTTCAACCGAATGAGCTGAAAATTGGTACTCATATGTTTTTCCACGAGTAGATTTCACAAAAAAATCAATTCTTTAAATTTAACAATGCTTTAAAAATTATGATTTCTGCATGTTTTTATTTGTATTATAAAAAAATTATTGTACTTTCTAAAATTGAACACCTCTCCAAGGTTTTTTATTGGATCTGGAGTATAAAAAAATGTTATCTAAAAATAGCAAAAAATGTTTTGATTTGTATCCTGATTCAGCATTTTCAATTTCTCAAAATTCAATTATTTCTTTTTTTGCAGATTTGTTTCGTGAATCATGTTCTGTAATAGAAATAAGGAAGTAGAAATTGAAATAGGAAGAAAAGTACACTGAAAATAAATACAACGAACTTAGATGCAAACGTGGAAGGAAACACACTTTCTAATTGGACAATATTGTAAGGATATACTTTTTCGATTATTTCAAATGTATAGTGTGAATCATCGAAATTGAAAATTAGGGATAAAGTCCTTTTACTCGTCTATATAAATTGTTGGAACGGTTGACTGCTTTTATATCGTATAGCCAATTATAATCATTAGCATTTGTTCTTGTCCTTCTTTTAAGGGTGAATCTCTCGAAAAGGACAAATGCTGAATTAAGAAAAAAAAAAAAAAAGTTCAAAACCACTGTTATGACTATTGCTATGGGAAGAGAAGGACCTAAATAAGTCTCTAAAATACGTTGTTACGATCTTTATGAACATTATTGTTTAAAAAATAATTGTTTAATATTTTGTCACCGATACAATGATCGAATCCGTTTAAATCTTGTTACTCGAGGGTTTTTGGGGTCGCTAAACACGAATCCGGTGTTAGTTTTTCAAAATTCAAAATGGCGGATCCAATATGGCAGACGACAATTTCAAAAATCAATCCAATTTATTTGAAAATGGTTATTCGGGGGTTTTTGGGGTCGCTGATTACGAATTTAAGGTCCGTTTTTAAAAATTCAAATGGCGGTCGACAGTTTTAAACATCCATCAAATTTACTTGAAAAAAGTTACTCGGGGGTTCTTGGGGTCGCTGATTACGAATCTGCAATCAGTTTTAAAAAATTCAAAATGTCGGACAATTATCTTTTAAATCTATTTAATTGGCTTCAAAATCGATAATTAGGGGTTTTCAATGACGGTGAACACAAATCTGAAGGTAACCCGAGTAACCATTTTTAAGTAAATTGGATTGATTTTTGAAATTGTAGTCCGCCATATTGGATCCGCCATTTTGAATTTTGAAAAACGGACCTCAGATTCGTAATCAGAGACCCCAAAAACCTCCGAGTAACCATTTTCAGGTCAATCGGATCGATTTTTTAAATTGTTGTCCACCATATAGGTTCCGCCATTTTGAATTTTTGAAAACGGACTTCAAATTCGTAATCAGCAGATGAAAATCTTGAAGGAACGATTTCGTTTGATTTTTTTAACATTATTATTCGATAATATTACATGTTCTTTTTTTTGACATGGCCCCCTTTGACCCCCTGTAATTCCGAAAGGGGGCATATGCTCATCTTGAAATTTTGCAGGGATTATTGGGTCATCATATGTTACCATTTGGCATAAAGAAAGTTTCAAAATTCGAGGTACGAAAAAGGTGCATTTTTTTGCACGAGGCTTTATAATCGATGGATGTGACTAGCGATCACGGAGGGGAGTTTTCTTCCTTTAGGCGTAGCCAAAATTTATTGATTCTAATATAAAAATAATAAATTTTATAAAAAAGAGTAATAATAGTATTCGCGATATTGAAAAGAATATTCTAAAAATTATTAATAATATTTATTATTTATTTATCAAAAAACTAAATTTAAAGTGGACACGGAGGGGAGTTTTTTTGTGTCGACGAACATTGCGAAACTGAAAATCTTTCTGACACTTATTGTTTTCATTTCTTTCATGATGTTGTGTACTGACCAAAACAACATCGTCACTGTAAACACTTTTGAATTCTTCATTTCTCAATTATCATTTTTTTTTCATTTACTCATTATATTTGTAATTGGTCACGGAGGGGAGTTTACTTTGCGAACAAAACTTATTTAATTCTAGGAAAAAATATTTTACAAATATTCTGTTTTACACTTTATAAATCAATTATAAATAATGTAATTAGTAGATGTTACTAGACAAAAGATGTTTTCCTATTGCAGTATGAATGCAATAATTCTTCTTTAAATAAAACTTACTTCGCGAACGGTAACGGAGGGGAGTTTTTACACTATATAAACATGATTATATTCAATTATTTAAAATTGTCAATTTTTTTTTATAAAATCTTATTAAATTCTGTTGACTTCTATAATAAGGCCCGCAACATTTTCAATTATTATAATTATTTATTAAAAATAATGTCATGAACGTGTCATTTGTCCTTTTTGTGAGAATGACCCTTAAATAGATAGATATGTGTTATTATAGACTGTAATAGAGACGCCAACTGCATTTTTAGATTTATGTGTGAATTGTGTATTGTATTATGTTACTAACTGAATTAATTATTTATTTAATTGAATGATCTACATACTTTTAAGTACTCATCTTTTGTTGATAGCGTGAGAGAGAATTTTATACTTTGAGAATAAATGCTCAAACCTATCTTTTTGTTGGTTAAATCATATTGATGACTATTTATATGTGATCAATAATTTGTCTGCTTTCTGTCACTTATTCGCATATGTTATACAATAAATGCCTTTTTATGTATTTTGTAAATTGATCCACTTTGTTTTCATTTATATTATTATTTCATGTGAATTATCATTGATCTTAAATATTACTTGTAAAACTTTAATTAAATCTAAGATTTTAATTAATATAATAATAAAATATTTTTCTATTTTTATTAATATTTTCCTGTACAATTTCCATAATTTTCTGTTAAAATTTTTTTTATTTTTGAATAGCTTGAAATTAGTATTTTGGAACAAAGCGAATATCCAAAAAATGACAATTAATTTTTATAATACATACGACATAATTTGTTCATAAATAGTGATTTCCTGAACACTATAAAAAGCGGTGTCTTAAAAGTAGAACATAACTTTATTAATTGAGCAAAAATGTCTTAAATTAAGACATTGTCGTGTCTTAGTCATCAAGCGTGTTTTAACTTAAGATATTTTTGTGCAAAATGGCAGCATATCTTTGTAGTAAAATAATATTATTATAATATTATTAAATACCTGGAATTTAATTCTTATTAATTGAGGTAATTTGAAAAAAATTAAATTCACGTAGATATCCGCTAGACATTTGGAAAATCTTACGAATTGTTTTCTGACACACATAGTTATTATCATAAGGTTCTGTGATATAATTATTGCCAATTAAGGATAAAAATATCTACAAGATTAACCAGAATATTGATCTGGACATCTCGTAAATTCTTGATGACTTTCTAGAATTAGGGTTTTCTTATTTCAGTGTAACAATCTAGAAAAATTTATCAAAAATTGATCAGGAGGAACTTGGTGACTGCCTGAGGTTGATTTCCTATCGACTTTACAAATTCCCGGGAATTTCCCGGGAATTTCCCGGGAGCGACTCTCGGGAGTGACTCCCGGGAATTTCCCGGGAAATTCCCGGGAACTTTTTCACGTGGGGAACTAGTGCAGTATTTGAAACATCAATAATCAACAAAATTAAAATGGTTATACTAATTAATTAAATTAGCTTTTTCAAATATTCAGACGTTCAAATATTCCCATGTGGAAAGATTCCTAGGAATTTCCGCCGGAATTCCGTTAGAATTTCCAATAAAAATTTCGGCGGAAATTTCCAGAAGCGGCGGGGTGAGGGTGATAATAATTTTTTAGTTTTTGTTTTTTATGGACGTTGTACATTTCTTTTATGAAATAAAGAAATATTTATTCTGAAAATTTTTTATATGTTTAGTAGATTTTTTTTTTAGCTCGATGAGGAACGTAATATAAGAGCACGTACGTGAACAGAGTTATTATATGATTGCGTGAAGACGAGCGGCTGTTCAAATTGATGGATTGGTTCGATGTTTGCTCGGATTCGCGAGCACGAACGACGCAACTCGAATTGTCACGTCAATCGATTATTTCTGACACGATTGATCGATGGCCTACGAATCGATTGCTTGACGAATAACACCACTGGAACCTGCTCGACCTCCAGCGATAAATATTGCTGTTCATTTTGAATTTACTCACTTTTTAAATTTGTTTCATTGACCAAAAATTCAATTTACTGTTTTAGTGCTACCCCATTAATTAGCTTTAAAAAAAAAAATGATACAAATATTTGATTGATTCACGTTTTCTTAAAATTCAATTAAATCTTATTTTACACACTTGGATCAAAAATATATTTTATCTTAGATTCACTCAACCATTTTTTTTTATTTAATTTAAATTTTAGTTTACGCAACAAAATATGTTATTTTAAGCGAAATTGAGAAAAAGTTTATTTGCACAAATATCAACCAAAATGTTGACCTTATTATATTGATTTTAAGTTAGTGCAACCATATGAAACAGTGAAATGGATTTAAATTTAATTATTATGTTTCATTGCATTCACAAACACTAAAATTTATCGTTTTATTGCAATAAATAATTTTTTCACTGCCCCCCTTCTCTATATAAATAATAAACTTCACAATATAATGAATTAATAAATTACTCCAGTGAATAATTTAAAGCATACACGAAAACATAAAATACAGCAAGGCAGATAATGAATTTATGATTTAATAAAGCATGAAATAATTGAAGCCAAACTGAGTAATTAATGCTCGATGCAAAAGTTGACAAATAAAATAAAAATTTAAGCCAGATCCAAGTTTTCTTATTATAAATTCAAAAAAAAATTTAAAAGACATCTGGTTTCAAATGTTATTTTAGTCATTATTATAATTGTCGTATTAATTTTATTGTCTATTCATATATCAATAATTTATTAGGATTTATAAATTTCTTGGGGTAATAAATTCCATTAGATTTTGTCATAGAGAGGTAGATCAATGTGTATCGCGCATATCATTTTATAATTATTGAAACACAGTCTTCCATTGTATTGATCGAATGAATTACACATATACATATATAACTGCTGATGTCTTGACTTTTAATGATCGTTGAAATGCTCGGAAAGCAAATGCTTCGATCACGAACGAAATTGCTACAATAACCGATTGTCCCTCTTTGCATGCTGGGACTACAATGATAATAATTATAATGGAAGAGCGATGCAATTGCCACGCCAATCGGTAATAATTGACTAACGATTTGCAGTCATTGACGGCATGCGTCTACTTTACTCGTCAAAGATGTATATTAAATATAAAAGTTATTTATTATATTCGCAGCTGTATTCTTTTCTATTCACTGATTCAAAATTAGAGAAAATTAGAAAAATAACAAAAAAGAAATGAAATTAATATTTATTTTGTTCGCTTCGGTGATTCAGTGATACTTCCTGTTTCATTTACAGAATAGAAGAAAGAGAAATAGGATTTTAAAAATACAGAAATTATTATGTAATTATAATCCCTTGCAGCATCCGAAAGGACGTAACACCAGAGCAACCAGCTAATGCATATTAGCTATACATCTAAATAATTTTTCTCCAATTTATTAGAAAGGGGATAAAAATTTAAGGAAAGGAAAATTGACGTTAGAGAATATAAAAATCAGTTTGTAATATTAGATATAAAGAAATCTAGGGTTGATATACATACTATAAATACAGTAATTCGTTACGGTAACATAACGGAAAAAATAATAATAGTTTGCAACATCAGTTTTAGGGAATTCTAGTATTGATTAAGTAGAATACAATAAATCGTAACGGTGACGTGACAATGTACAGAATTCATTAATAATATGATTTCTAGCGCAGGAGGGTATATTTATATGAATAAAGTATGAAGTAATCATATATGTAATTCTCTTTTGTGTTAATACTGTCATCATTAATGGATAAATTTTTGATTCCAAATATATCATGTTCGTGACAACACATTCAGTGTTTATATTTTGAGATGAACTTTGAGATTGAATGATTGTATAAAATTTTTCTATATATTAGGCGTGAATTATTTTCAATTCATTATAAAATTGTTCTCTTTAACATGAACGTAATGTGAAGTAATATTTACGTAATACATATAGGGAACACATGTATGTATTATATAGGTCTGGTATGAATGAAGCAAAAGCATTTGCCGTCTCAACACTCAACGTGCTATACGCACTGGTATATATACATATACTCTCTCTTCCCGGACCTACCTCACACACTCGAATCCAAACCTCTTCCACCTCTTCAATATATATATATACACATCGTATATATACCTATTAGTGCTGCTATACACTACACGTGCCATTCCCAACCATTCACTTCTTCATAACAATACTCATTACTTTTTACTTAAATAAGAACTCGTTTTATTATTGTTAGCTCTTTTCAATTACACTTCACGTCATCTAAATTGTCTCTCTGGATCTTACAAGGTATTTTCGAATTTGCATCACTTTTGGCCGCTGGGTTTTAAAATTTGAAATTCTAACGATAAGAATCAATTATTATTTGATTTCGAACAATTTTGGGTTTTAAAATACCCAGGGGCCATAAGTGATTCCTAAAGTTTACCATTTAACAATTCTGATTTTGCTAAGTTTTCAAAAATTATTAAACCATATAACATTCATTCCATTCTGATTGTTAATAAAAATCTCAAATCTATTGTAAAACTCCGTAAAGATCAAACCGAGAAGTAGCAAGAAACAAATGTTTACAAATTTAATTGTAAAAGTTGCCCTGCGAATTACAGACAAAACGCTCGAGCACATACGTATCAATGAACATAAACATAATAAAAACGATAAATCTGTGATTCGTGCACATCAACTAAATTTCGATCATGATTTTGATTATAACAGTACCATTATACTTGATCGTGAAACAAATTTTATAAAAAACGCTCTATTTTCAAAATGATTCATATTTTAAGTATAACGATGCTACAATTAATAAGAAGGATATTTGTTTTCTTAATAAAGCGTATTTCCTCTTATTAGAAGATTGAATTCATAACAGAATCGTGAAGGTTTCTGTCTTTATATACTATTTAACTATTAGTTCATTGACTCTTCTTTTTAACACATGTGGTTTCCTCCAAAACAAATTTTAATTCATTTTTGACTTGATGCTCGCATCGAAATGACGAAAATCGTCGCATGTTTATTTTATATAAAAATTTTAGTTTTTAACGATAATTTTTAACATTAACTATAGTTACAATGTAATATTATTTTACATATTCAGGTATTATTATTAATTTGTGTTTTTAATTTTCATGTATTTAATTTTGTGTACTTATTAATTTGATGTTTTTGTTAAATAAATTAGCCTGAAGAAGATGGTATACCAAAGAATTGAAACAAATTAACATATTTTTGTTTTTTATGTTTTTACTTTCTATTGATCGAATTTTACTTCCCATTAGGAATAATTTGTTGAAAATCGAAGCAAAAATATTTGACGGATCTTTTGAAGGTTATAAGCGTGGACAGTTGGTCAACCAGTTTAGCAATGAAAAAAATTGTTTTAAGAGGCTCAAGTGTGGGTATCTCCTGCGTCCGGCTTGAAATATCGAGTTGCTCAATGTCTTCTCGAATGCCCAAGGAAACATGAACCGCCTAAACCGCTAATTTTTCTGCCCCTATTACTACTCCCGTTTCTTTGTTTTTTCGGTTTTGTCTCTACTCTTTATGCATTTCATTTTTGCATGTCCATTTTAGAAACATTAATTGATATAGTTAATCATTTATACAAGTTGTTGAGTAACTACAAAAATAATCGTACACTTGACCTTAGCAGTTTTAAGTGGCAAATGAAGCGGGAAATTTAAATTTAATTTTATAAGTGAAACACTGCAATAGAAAGAAAACAAAAATTTACGAAGTAATTTCAATAAATAAATATTTTTCAATAAAATAATACTTAAATTATTGTTTAGAAAAAGATTTTTATAATTGAAATTAGATGATTGTTTTTTAATATTTAATCATTATTTTTGATTTAAAAGAATAGAAGGAAAAAAATGAATGAAAAGTTAATTTATTATCTATCTTAACTTAATATTTTAGTATCTATTTTTATTGAAAATTATATGTAAAAATTATTTATTTATAATATAAATTTTATTATATTACTTACAATAATAGCTGCAAATAAGCTTCGAATTAAATTTCCATTTTTCAAAATACGACAGAAACACGCTAAAACGTAAGAGAAAATCACAACACCTTATACATTATTCAATGATAAAAATCTATTTTACTTTGATTGATTTTAACAGCACAATTAAATTACATTCATTAAATTAAAAAGAAATAAAAGAAAAAATATTTTCTAACCTACAAAATTTTCTAATGCATATGCATTAAGATGCATGAATTATCAAAAATTTTCGAATTATAAAATTGTTACTTATCGACGATTATTATTTTCGTCACTTTTTGATTTTAATCTCACTTATTCCTTCACTTATTGAACTTCGACGGTATTTATTTAGAAAGATCGCTTTATTTACTTTTCGTCGCAAATACTCGTGTCACACGAAATGTCCCGATGTTGTCAAATACTGCTGGAGTCGTGAAGCAAAAAAATTTTTAATTTGGAAACTAGTAGCTTCACAACTCTAGTAGTTTTTAATGGTAATGACGTGAAATTTTCCCCTTCCATCGTTTGTTAAATATGAAAAATATAAAGGAATTCAAATTATCTGAAATAAGTTATTTTTAGGAAAAAGTTGTCATCAAGTACCTTTTAAAGATTGTAAAAAGTAAAGTTGATTTTTGCAAAGGAACAGTGTCAGTGACTGACAGTTTGCTAAGAGTCATCCTAGTCGTCGGCATCATTCAGTTTATGAAGTACGATGATTGGCCAGACGGATATTTGTTTCGTGACGCAGCAGGCCAACATTATCACATATACATAAGGGCGATAGTTGGCCATCAAGAATATTGTGTCTTTGTGTGCGATATAATGTACAGCACACACATCGATCGAAGAGATGCAAAGTACTACCTGAGCAGTGCTGCGTCATCGAGATCCTTTGGCTCGAGCCGATGTAGAGCTGAAAATGCACAAGCCGAACATCTACCCCCTAAGAGGAGGAGTGCCACCTTGTCAGGGAATAATAAATACAGAACTCGGCACAGTGTTTGTGTGCACTCTCATGTAAGCTCCGTGAGTTTGGTGATTGATGGCATTGCCATGACTGACGTTACATCAATCAATATTCGCTCTTTTCGCAGTGACCTACCGCGTCCCTCTCTCTCTCTCTCTCAGTTTCGATTTCTTATATTCCCTCCTGAAGTTTTCTGAGCCTTGCGCGTCATTGTTGCTGCATCGCCATTATCGCACTAGTTGCCGTTGGCCATTATCCACCGCGCCTTTCACCTTTCTTTTGAACCGCGAAGCGAGCCGATTCTCTTGCCTTCTCATCCGGTTAATCTAAGGATGGACTATAACCTACCGTGATTTTCAGTTTCATTTTCTACATGAGCTCATGACTTGACGTTTTCCTTACTCTTGGCCTTCATTTCCGCATCTGCAATTCGTTCGACTTGATCAATTCATTGTGCCCATCCCCGCGAATAACTAAATTTTATATACGAAATATTAAAATCATTTTAGTAACATTGGTATATTTGTTTTTTTTAATTACCTAGTTAATTTTTTAACCGTTTTTTAATTAATTTTGTAAGTTATTTTTGATTTTATATAATATACACTAAGGCTGTTTTCACCATGTGGGTTAAATTTAATCTTCCGAGAGGTTAAAGACAGTAGATATGTTCTGCGCAGAAGCAAACATTCCGCGCAGACGCAGAATATATCTACTGCCTTTAACCTCTTGGAAGATTAAATTTAATCCACATGGTGAAAACGGCGTCATTATTATATAAAATATTTGGTTTTAATGTTAGATTAACATGAAAAATTAAACCCAAGTATTTAATAACAAATTATGAATATAATTTCAAAAATTAGAATTATTATGTAATATATGATATATTGTTAGTACAGTTAAATTAATCTATATTTCTTTATTGTTTCAGGTGAGTTAAAATCTTCTTCTTTATATGTCCAGAAACATAATTGTGAGTATGAAAAAACTTGTGTAGATAATAAACTTCAAGATTAACTACCTAAAATCACTTATTTTAATTCTCCCCTTTTTCTACAATAAATGTAAATTTTTACATTTTAACGCCAAATAATAATAATAATATCTATTTTTATGTAACTTTATAAATTATCAAATTTCTATTTGGCGGAATTTTACAAAGCATCCTTTATTGTATTAAGTTAGATCAGTCATAAATCCTAAAATTCGGCTGACTAAAAATTCACAAAACATATAATCAATTTTACTTAATATTTTTAAAGAAATTATTTACAGTTTGTCATCAAATTATAGGATTTCTCCAAGTCAGAGAAAAGTCGTAAAAATTTTTATTGGAAAAATATCAATTTCTAAAAATGCTATTGAAAATTATAATTTTTGAAATCTTTGATTTAAAATTTTGCTTTTAAAAATTATTGTCTTATTTTTTTATAACTGAAGTCACTATTGAATTTATTGTTTCTTTTTTGTTAATTATATTTCTTTCTAATATAAATGTTTTAAAGTACTTAAGTATATATAATCAATATAATATTTATTAATTAATTAATTAAAAAATTCAATTATTTTTAATGATTTTATAATATTTTTCGAAAGTATAATTATTGGAAAGTATTTTTCAATTAAAAACATTTTGAATTCAATTTTTGTCTGTAATTTCTAATAAATTCTTTTTTCAACTAAAATCACCAAAAATTTTAATAAAAAATCACTTGAAGTTCACTTAATTATAATGGTGAAAATCAGAATTGTAAATCTTTGAAAATTCAATTACGCATTTAAAAAATTTTATCTAAAATTTTTTGATAAATTATTTTAATTTTTATAAAATTTAATTATTTCTAAAAATTTCAACTATAATTCTTCTAAAAGTTCAATTATTTTAAATAATTTTTTTAAAAATTTAATTAGGTATTTAAAAAAGTTACAGATAAAAACCAAAAAAAAATGGATTGTCAGAATTTTTTTTTACTTTGTCTAACTTAATTAAAATTTAAAAAATTTAGGTCTTCGATTCTGAAATATTGGAAATAAAGTTTCTTGATAATATTCTTGTAGAGTTATTCTTATTAAGGAATAATTAAAATGGATTTAATATCTGATAACATTAATTATTTAAAGTAAAATACTTATTAACTAATTAAATTTAATTAAAATAAAAAATCGACTTTTTTGGAATTAAAATCGACTAAAACGACTTTTCTTGTGCCTGAAAGTCGATCCGAGGCCTGATATTTTCATCAAATTATTATTAATAATTTATATTACATTATAGCTATTTAATTAATAATTTTATATTAATGATAATAATAATAGGTTATATGCAATAACAATAATACTGTAAATATGATAATGTTCTTATTATTATTATTACTATTATATACTTAAGTACGTTAAGAAAATTAATATTTTTTTTAGAAAGGAATATAATTAACAAAAGAACCGAGGGGCATATAACATGTGAATTAAGGTGTACACTTGTTGAACTAAATTAAAAAAAGGTAAAAATTAGAAAAATAAGTGTTAAAATTTGAAGAAAGTGATATTTTCTAATTTCTGAACACAGAAAAGACCTGGACTCAAAATAAGTAGCGCATACTCAATTTGAAACGCAAGAAAAATGTGCCTCGTAGGTGGCGCCACGTTCCATATCGTTTAGCTCATTTTAAACTTCAACAAAAATGAGTCCAGGTTTTTGCCATGAAAATTTTAAGCAGAAACAAGAGTTTTACCCCTCAATGTCAATAATTAAGAATTAAAATTACGGAATAAATAAAAAAAGTCGAAGATTCTTGGTAAAAAGTTGTTGAAATTGTAAGTTGGTATGAAAATAATATGCGGCCAATATGCCAAGAAAGTTGAATTGTGGAATTGAGAGTTGTTTGGTGATGGTAGTGCAGTTGGTGTATGATGTGAAGTAGTGTAGAAGTGAGACCACCCTTGAGAAAGTGGAGTAATTCGTCCCCTTTGGCGTATGGTGAGTGGCCAGGACGGATCAATCGGAAGGCGGGTATAAGTTTCCGCCGTTGTGGTCCAGCAGCACCGAGGTTAGCTGTCGTGGTCAGTTTCGGATTGCGGCGATGTCTGTGACAGCTGCTCTAAAGGGCCGCGTATTGAACTCACGTCCAGTTACGCTCCTTTATACCTACTTACCTCGCTTCTAACCCTCTTAAGCAACCACCCCCCCCCCCTTCCACCTCTTTCTTCGTCTTCTTGTGTTCGAGTTGTTCGCTTCGTCGGATTTTGCCCGGTCTCGCCAAATAATCATTCGTGTAATAAGACACGGGCACATAACCTCTAATAATATAAGATTCGAGCTAATTTATCTTCAGCAACAATACCAACAAGTATATTGTTTTGCATTTAGGTATATTTTCTTAATCCGTTTGCTAAAATTTTTCATAAATTTTCCACTCATTGTGAATGTGCAACAAATTCGTTGCACATTCAATTTATACGCGTCATTGTCACAAATATATGTATTAAAACGAATAAGATTGTTATCTACAACCTTTATAAAATTTGAAATAATATTAATCACTTTGATAATAAAAAAAAGAAATTAAAACTAAACATATGTGTAAATTCAAGTTTTCGTTGATTTGATAAAAATAGCTCACAATTAGTAGTGTCTAACAATAGAAATGGATAATTAAAAACAGATTTGTTTCGCCTATTGATGGAATGAACGAGGTTATTGAAAAATAAACCTTCACACAGTTTCAAAAATATTTATTGTCATCAGAATACCCGTATCGTATGCATATCAATATGTGATAAGTGAAATGCTTTTTGTTCTACTTTCATTTGCATAAAACATGAATTTGAGTAAAAAAAAACCTGTCTGACGAATGACTGACGTGACCCATATAGGAACGCAAAATGCCACGTCAATCATCCATGGCTGACGTGTGCAAGTCTGGCTTGTGGTTAATGAAATGTGAGCAACAAAAACTCGAATCATAGAAACTCGCGCAAATCTGCATTGATTTATATGCAATGTTACGGATAAATAACTATATAATCACTAAAAATTGTATTTTATTTTTCTTTATTTTTATTCAAATATAATTTTTCATTATTAAAACTGCAGTTTTTAATATTTAACATTCAAACAATATTTCATATTATACACAATGAAAAATAAATAAAATAAAAAATAAATAAAGTCTAAAAAACAAATTGTAACCCTTTTTTCAAGATGCGTTAAATACATAAATAACTTAAACTGGAGTTATTCATTTCTACTTGAACAATTCTCTGGGGACAAACCTGACTAATGAGGCTGTCTGACAACATATTTAAGTGGCACTTAACTTTCAGTGAAGAGTATCTA